TCTCTCATGACAGGGCCAGAGAAGTGCCAAGGGAAGAAGGCATGGAGGGATCTCATAGAGTCACAGACCTGGGTGAATCTCCAGGAGCTGGTGGCACATCCTCCACGCATTACAGATGAAAGAGACACAGAACATCTGGGTGCTGAGGGCTTATGAAGGCACTAGGGTGCAGTAGCTACCTCAAGAGCTAGCCAGGCGCCGATGGCTCACGCCTATAATCCTAGCCACTCAGGAGACTAAGATCTGAGGATCGGGGTTCAAAGCCAGCCTGGGCAAGAAAGTCCGTGAGACTCTTATCTCCAATAAACCACTAAAAAACTGGAAGTGGTGCTGTAGCTCAAGAAGTAGAGCGCTTGCCTTGAGCTGAAGAGCACAGGGACAGCGCCCAAGCCCAGAGTTCAAGCCCCCGACCAACCAAAACAACAACAATAACAAAAAGAGGGGGGGATCTGCTCCCGGCCCTGGAGGGCTAGACCTCCAGAGCTGGCCCTGGTGGACAAACCACCATGGGAATGTACAGCTATCAGCCCACCCTAAACTCTCCCCAGAGGCTGACCCACTGCCTGTGCCTCAATGTTCTGAGAGCTTACCTGCCTCTACCCACACTTGACTATTTCTTTCATAGCAGAGGCAGTACCAGCACTGCTGCTGACCAGCTGCTATCTACACCTCCACCCTCCCCAAGATCTCCCCAGCCACACAGTGCACTGCAGACAAGACTACCCATATCCCTCTCTGGTCACTGCAGGTAGGCCCAGCATCTAGGCTCCTCTGCTCTAGATGAAGTTCAAGGAATGGTGTGAGATCCTGATAACGTGGAGGTTTCCCACTACAGGGTGAGCAGCTCTGCCCCTGGCATCAGGAGAGACCGGCAAGGAGCATCCCCAGAGCAGCTTATATAGAACTTGTTCATGGTAACTTAGTAGCACGTGCACTCTCAAGTTGTTGCCCAATAAGAAGATCTGGAATTTGATTATTTCGCACTAGAGTGTTCACAGGGCAGAATGGCACCACAATCACACAGATACCATGGAAGCAAGACAAAGCTCAATGCTAACACCTGGATCCCCAGTGACTACTGCCTTTGGGATCCAGCAAGGGGTAGGAGAAAGGGGCGGATACAGAAGGGGAGATATTTCATCTCTTTAAAATTCCTGTTAAACATTAGTTTAACTGCTTATATAAATAAGATTCCTCAAAAAAAAAAAAAGATTCTTCAACCATGTTGTGGAATATTAGGGCACACTAGAAATAGTGCATTTCAAATAGGAAAATGGTTTGTGTTCACCCAGTTCTTGAAGCCAATTTTCAATTGCTTAAAATAGTCATGATATTTTACCAAGGTAATTATACTCTTAGCTATCAGTAACAATTAACTCCTTAGACTGGAGCTGCTTAATAAAGGTCTCGAAATAAAATTGCACATTCCAAGCACTGTATACTAAATGTCAAGCGCACAAACAGGTCCCTCAGAAGGGAGGCAGCGGCTGAACCATCAGCAGGGAACCACAAGCCAGTTCCACAGCCACACAGGGGGCAGGTAGGGACATCGAGCTCCTGGGGGGGGGGGGGGGGGGGGGCGTGTTTCCCAGGCAAAGGGTACAACAGATGCAGGACTCCTTCCCTAGCAAGATCAGAACAAAACGAACAGTCAAGATACCCTGAAGCCCAAGGGAAGCCTCCTTGTGGGATCTTGGAAGTGAGCACTCCTCAACCATAAGCAAACCATGTTAGGATCCACAGGAGGTGGACAGCACCAGTGGACATCACCTTGCACAAGCCCTTGAGACAAGGCATACTGCATTTCTTCCTGGCCCAGCCTAATGAACAGTTCCATCATGCCAGCTGGCAGGACAGATCCTTGCATCTCAGGCCCAGGGACTGCACAAGCAATTGGTATCGACCCATTGCAACACACCTTGGAGGGACAGTCAGTCTCAATAATCAGTCAGTGTTGGGCAATCAATATCCGCCATCTCCCTAACTCAGGGTGACACCGCCTGTAAGCACAGCATGAGTGAGGGTAAGGCCGATTTGGTCCAGAAAGCTATCATCTTTTAATCTGCTAAGCAGAGGAAAGAAGAATGGAAATTTCTTCCTTGGGTTGAAGATAATGGACTTCAAGGACAGAAACTCCCCAGAAAGGAAGCCAAGCAGAAACTGGAGAAGCCTGGAGATCTTGGTTGGGGCAGCATGGAGCTAAGATTCCATAGGTGACTAGAGAGACCTTGCCACATCAGCTGCCTGGTGACTGCTCACTGTGACCAGAGGTGACCTGAGATGGGATCTAAACACTCACCAGAACCACAGTAAGTCCACAACACAGAATGAGGGTCACAGACTTTGCCACAGGCCACCCCTGGCCCAGGAACACACCATGAGTCACATGGTTTATTTAAGTGTGCCAGAATGTGACCGGGGTATAGGCTGCTGGCAGGTAAGGCTGACCCACCCAGGAGCTCAGGGTCATACCAAGGAGCTGCCATTCATCCTGGGTAAGACCATCAGTGGTTACTCATTATTAAGACCTGAGACAAGGACAAAATGAAATCCAAACCACCCTCGAAGCTCCCCCCAGCATGACTTCCAAACCTGTACAATCAGACCCATAAAAAAAGATGGTTTAAAAACCACAGTACAGGCCTAGAATGGAATGCTACTCAGTAGTGAAAAGGAACATGCTTTATATAGGGACAATAATTTGGGTGGTTTTCAAGACAGACTGTGTTGTCTCCTAAATGCTTGTTTCCCTCCCTAAACCCTTTATAAAAATTTCTGAGGCAAAAGCATCAGAAAGGGGCAATCAGGTTGGGGATGGCCTCTCAGGTGGGACCAGTGTCCTAACAAAAGAGGCCTAAGGCCTCCCTAGTCCCCTGTGCTGCCTATAATCCAGAACAATATGCAGACACCCAGCCTGACAGTATCTCAGCCCTGGGAACTATGAGCAATCCTTTTCTGTTATTCATAAACTGTCTAATCCATGACATTTGGTTATATAGCAGCTGAGCAAATGGAGCTGCCTTCCCTGAAGCTGCTCCTTCTCCTAAGGTTATGAACCCACTGCCAACTTCACAGCCACCACTGTTAGGCTGCAGCTAACTATTTTCTTCATGTTTACTGGACATGAGTCCCACAGAGCCTCTGTCAGGAAGGGCCATTCGTGAGTGACACACCAAGCGCTACAGTGGAACACTATGACCCTGTGGTTACATTTTGAGGCACCCAAGACATCCTGAGACTGCAAGAAGTTGCCAGAGGCTTCCAGCCCTGACTGCCCACACTTCATCCCACAGGAAGTGTGGAGCCTCCCAGATTTTAGGTCTGTAGTGTCTCCAACGTGATGATTGCCCACCAAGGTACCCACTCCCCAAACACTTCCCACTGCCTCGCCACTTCCCACTGCCTCTGATGGCCACTTTGTCCTCTTGTCCATAGCACTGGCACAAACATCCCACACTTATATGATACTCTATCGCACACAGCCTGGGTGGGCTGTCATCTCTTCTTGGCACTACACTGCATCAACTGCACTGTGACTGGACCCAGCAACTACGATTATATGTAGACACAGCCTACTTCTTGCCCAGTTCCATCTTTGGCTAAGACACCTTTGTCCAGGATACTTTCTGTGTCTATCATGGCACTATATCTCTGTCACAGATGGTGAGTGCTGCTGGCTCTTCCCACTACACTGTCAAGCCCACAAGGGCTACACTGTTCAGGCATATCATGTGCCTCATGCTGACACTAGTGGGCACACTACAGGCATTAGAGGAGGAAAGGAAGATGAGAAGGCCCACAGTCCTACTCCCACAACCATGCTAAAGGGCTGAGCCTCTCCTTGCTGAGGAACGAGGTATGGGGACCTGCTGCTATGGGAGGGCACTTCGGGTTCTCCTCCCTCTGGTTCCACACAAGCAGGCCTTTGCTATTGAGTCAGTTTCTGTGGCCTGTAGACAAGGTCCTGGGAAATGCTTTAAAGAGATAGTGATGAACATTCAGGAGTGTGAGGTAGCCCCAAAACAGCATTCATTTCCAACAGTTTCCTGGCCAGGAGAGCCCGACAGCAAAAGAGCTGAGTTCTTCAGACACAAGGGCAAGCCAACCCGTAACTTCCCAGTCTTCCCAGGGCAGAGGGTGGGCCACACAGGCCCTCTGCCCGTATAACAGCAGCATGAACACAGTTAAGAAGTCTAGCAGCAAGCTGGATGCTGAGCTTGCCTGAGTTCAAACCCCATTACTGGCTCTCTTCTTCCATGTCTTCTGAAATTTCAGTGTCCATGGTAAGGTTTGTCTGTTGGTTTCAAGTTCTAGGACTTGAACTCAAGGTCTAACCATTGTTCCTAAATTTTAGGCTCAAGGCTACCATGTGAGCCACAGCTCCACTTCCAGCTATTCTCAGTGGTTAATGGACATTCCTGCCCTGGGAGGCTCCAAAAACCATAATCCTCACATCTCTGGCTCCTAAGTAGCTAGGTTTACAGGTATAAACCACTGGTGCCTGGGCATGGTAAGATTTTAAATAACACTCACCAAATACCTTCATTCACCCCCAAACAACCTCGGCTTATCATGGCTGATTTCAAAAATTGTTCAGCCACAACATTAGAGGGGCAGGCACCAGCACAGGTCTTATCACTGAGCTGGGGACCAGAGCATACGCAGTTCTACGCCCCTGGATAAAGGTAGCATTGGCACAGAGCCCATTGAGCGACTGTCCTGGCTGGCATAACAGAGAGGACATCTGCCCTGCCACTTGATGTCAAGAGCTCTGACCCCACAGAAAGCCAGCAAGGATGTGTAGAGTGCTTGATCCCTCAGGCCTAACACCACGGGTGCTAGATGCTGGATCCACAAGGACCCTGGGGCTGAGAGGGGGACACAGATGGCAGGTACACACATGAGCTCTGCTGAGGTCTGCATGAAGATGATGGACCAGGGAGAAAGGGACAGGCATGGATAAAGCAGGGCAAGCTGGCTACCCTTTAGGTAACCTGTACCTTGGTGAGCAGCAGGACACGCTTCTGGAGCCTTCGGGCCAGCGCCTCATGAGACTCACGCTTCTTCCTCTCCTCTAGCAGCTGGCTGCTGACCTGTCGTACCTCATCTTGGAGCTGCTGCTGGGCCTTCTCCAGGCGCCGGGCACTACACAGGAAAGCAAGGGGGCAGAGCAATGAGGTCTGGCTTGGCCATCCATCCAGGGCTCAGGAAGCACCCCCAACAGCAAGCCCCACCGGGATGTCCTAAAATAGAGCTGCACGTGCAACCACCACGCTGTCATTTCCTCGCTCCTGAATAGCTACTTAACGCCTTTCAGGAGTTTCGGGATTTCAAATAGACACCCAGGGTGATCCCAGAACACGGTGAGCGGGGGAGGGAAGCTCAACTCCACATACAATGGAAAAAATTGTCAGCCACGCAGAGCTCCGGGATGGGACTTCTGAATGAGCTAAATTGCCAGCGCAAGCATTTCCCATGTGAATCACAGTTGGCGCAGATGTGCAGCATGCAGGAGGAAGGCTGAGTGCAGTCATGGTGGGGAACCGTACTGATGACTTTGTAGAGCAAGATCCAGCATACCCTGGGTGTTGGGACTGTGGAGGGGACAGACATCACGCAGCCAGGATGTGCCCTCCTACATTTGCCCTGTGACCAGTTGACCTCTCCCTTCTTCAATACCGCTTTCTAGTTTTGTTCCCCTGAATAACAACAGCCTCCCTATGACTCCCTCTCTTAATCCATCTCCCTTCACACAGAAGGGGTGGGGCAATGAGTGCTCCCATCAAAAGCTGAACACTTCTCCTTAGGAGGAGGAGAGGAATCCTGAAACTGCAGACCGTTCACAGGCTGACCACAAACATGCTCTCAGACAGCAAAGCATCTCATAATGAGGCCATCACACTCCTCTCTCAACACCACCAGCTCCTCATAGTCCCACACTAAAGGCAGGTCCCGCAAAGGCTGGCTCAGAACCACTGCCAGAAGGTAGTACCCAGAAACATGGAAGGCAGAAATCATCTGGCATCCTACTGTGTCCCTCTGATCCTATAAGTCCCTAAACTCTATCTACCCTCACAAGCACTAGGGGATGGAGGAACAGCTGGGCAGAGAGTCATTCAGATAAACAGGGAACTTAGGACAGGGCCCCTCCCTCCCAGACAGGAATACACAGCCCACACAACAAAATGGTGGTGGGAACTAGTTCAGCAGGGGATCTTTCTCTAGGAAATCCCAGTATTATGGCTCTGCTACATGGTGAGATATGTAAGATTCACATGAGGGACAATGAGAATGAGGCAGCTTTGAGGACATAAAATCTTGAGATGGGGCTGTGAAGTATGTTTGCAATCTTAGATCATTCTTAATACCCAAGTAATTCTATTTGTTTTCAAGAAAACCTAAGCTAAGTTCCAGTGGGCCATGTATATAATCCTAGCTACTCAAGGGGCAGAGATCTAAGGATTCCTGCTTCAAGTCAGCCCAAGCAGGAAAGTCTGAGATACTTATAGCCAATTAACCACCACCACCACCATCCCCCAAAAAAGCTGGAAATGGAGCTGTGGCTCAAGTGGTAGAGTGCCATTCTTGAGTGAAAAATCTTAGGGACAGCATCCAAGCCCCAAGTTAAAGTCTACCATATATATATAATAGTTAGGATATATAAGGTCTCCACTGCCAATTCTTTCTATTTCACATCTGGGCAACGGGTTTGTTTAAATTATAGTTTAGTAAACTTCTTTTAACAGCTTAAGAATAATTTGAAAGTGAATGTAAGTCAAAATTTTCTATGTATGTGTATGTGTGTGTGTGTATATATATATGCATATATATATATATATATATATATTTTTTTTTTTTTTTTAAATTTTACTTTTTCCTCCCCAGTCCTGGGGCTTGAACTCTGGGCCTGGGCACTTGTCCTTGAGCTTCTTTTGCTCTATCACTTGAGCTACAGCACTACTGTTGAAAATAAACTGTACAACCGTGTGTGTGTGTGTGTGTGTGTGTGTGTGTGTGTGTATGTGTGTGTATGTGTGTGTGTGTGTGTAACAAGTTCAACAACAAATGTACTCATTACCTTACATATGTAACTGTAACTCCTCTGTACATCACCTTGACAATAAAATTAAATTTAAAAAAAATTATGGAACCTTAGAAGGGACTTGATGCTGACTCTGGTCCAGCCAAGCATGGCAGGGAGCTATGATTTGGCCCACCCTGCTTAAGCTCAGGGCAGAAGCCTGCAAGAACAAATACTGGACACCAGAGGCCATCTCAGAAAACCTAGCAGGGATGCCTGAACCAAATAAAGAATCAGCCAATGGCCACCTGCCCCTCTAAGTGTTCTACAACCAAAACATAAAATAAGACGAGTGCAAATACTCTTTGCAAACCTGACATATTAAGAGGCTATTTTGAGATCCAGTTCAATTCAAAACTATTCATAGACCAATTTAATAATCAAGAACTGTGAAATCGACTCTTGAATCATTGAATTCAGGTGGGAAGTTCACAAACGTTTTAAATCACTGCTCCAAAGTGGCTAATTTAATTAGAAGAATGGCAGCATTCACTTATTGCTTTAAAAGCCAAGGCACACTAAGGCAAGAATGGGACAATGCCATCTTTCAGGTGACAGGGCACAACAGAATGACAGACAAGCCTGATTGGGTAAGGGGGCACTCTAACAAGATATCCTCGTGACAAGAGAGTCAGTGCAGACTTGGGAGAAACTAACAAACTGCAAGCCCTTCTCTTGGGAACACAATGTCCTCATATCTATCTAGAGCTTTCTCTGCCCAAAGTAAACGTAAAACTACACAGCTATGTGATAGCTGGCATCGTTCAGAGTACAAGACTCTGGCCCTTGGGCTGAGCTACTCATGAAGCTACACACTGCAGCTGGGCCCAGACCCCTTAAGGAAGACAAGGACATAGGTACAGAGGTGCCTCCAACCCAAGTCCTCGACCCAGACTCGGATGTTAGAAGACACAGCAACTGCAGCATCTGGGGGTGGTGCTGGACCCAGCTTGGGAAAGCTCACTTGCCAGGTTATATATAAAGAAAACCCTCAGGCTGGGAGTGTGGCCCTTGCCTAGCACATCTACAGGTCTAGGTTCCATCCTCAGTATAAAGTGGCTGTCCCTATCTCTACCTCTGATCTAAACTATAGGAGAGTAAGTTCTAGAGATCTGCAGGGTCACATGACAAATAGTGCTGGGCACTTAGAAACCTAGCAGGGCAGATCTCACCTTACTTACAATAACAAAACAGATTGTAAATTTAGCAAGAGGACATAAGGAGGAGGATGCAAGAGGATGATGATATGCTTACTACATTAATTGTCATCATGGTATCATAGTATATACCTATGCTCATAGCCATCAAAATATATACATCAATAAGTACAATTTTTAACAGTAGGCATATAATCAATAAAGCTAAAAAAAAAAAAGAACAGTGACATAAAAACAAATAAAATGGTAGGGCTTTTTCCCCCCAGATTATATTCAAGGAAATGTTTGTTTTCTTAAAAAAAAAAAAAAAAGCCTTGCTATTATATAGCCCAGGCTGGCCTCAAACTTGTGATCCTCCTGCCTCAGCCTCTTGAGTGCTGGTATTTAAAGGGAAATTTGTTTAGAGCTATCCATCACACTACTTATTTTAAGCTTTGTGTCACTTTTAGCTTTCTACCATTGGCTTTTAAGAAGTGCATCATATCTAGGAGGAGCAGGGCAGGTGGGCAGGAAGAAGACCCGTACTCTCTTAATAGCAACGTACATTTCATCTAGAGAAAAGGGCAGTAAGTTAAACCAAAGGAACACACACTCCTATAGGAGACCCCCAGGCAGCATCGACTGCAGACCATGACTCTGTCACAACAGTGGAGACAGCACCTATGAAAGCCACCAACCAGGCTGGACAGTCAGGCCCACACCCTACAGGGTTGGTTCCCAGGTCTCCAAACAGACCAAGCAAAGCTTCAAAGCCCAGGTCATTGTATGAAAGGAAGGTGGCTCCAAAGCACTCTCTGCTAAGCCTCACTGGGGACCTGGAGCACCGGAGATGGGCAGGTATCAGACCCACAAAGCTACTCACGTACCCAGAGTTTACCAACATAAGGTCTGGCCAAGTAAGCATAAAATCATGAACTGAGGGAAAGGACAATCCTAAGACACTAAGCAGATACAACTGTAGGAGGCAACCACAACTCTACAAAGATGAGAGGATAAAATCATGAAAATAGGGGAATATAGATGAGGTCCCCATGAGATGGGGCACCAATGGTGTCTGCACTGGGAGGGAGCCAGAGAGAAGTTCAGGCCAGGTAGAATCCAAGTATTAAGAGTTTCTAAGCATTAGAAACCCTGCAGGCCAGATTCAGCTGCTAGACAGGAAGGAGGATGTATGAAAAGAAGAAGCAGAAGGCTCACAGGCATGACAGGAGGTACGCAAGGCCTTGCTACTTTCTCTGGCCTGGCCAGATCTCTCTGATACACAACACAGGCTGACGAAGTGCCAGTTGGCTGCAAGTCCCAATCCTGCAAGGCTGAGAGCAGAAGAAAGAGCTGGAACTGAGGCCCAGGCTTCATTACTACTGTTGGCAGAAGACAGATAAGGAACAAATAAATGAAGGAAGCTCTACTACCCAGTGAGGCATGGTGAAAAGCAGAGCACAGAGATACCAAGAAGACAACACCATGTGCGGGCAGTCAAGGGAGGACAACAAGAGAGACCTTTATATCAAAAACACTCCTGGCAGCAGCACAGTGTGGAGATGGGAGAGGCCATGGAAGGCAAGAAGACTGAGGTGGGCCAGGATAGAAAGCAAGATACGATGGGCAGATGGGGTGGACCTCCACGAAGAGCTCAATAGGGTAAGAGCAGAGACAGAAAGTGCCGACAGTCCCCTCCAAGACACTTCTGGACTGCAAAGGTGAATAGAACCTAGGCTGACAGAGGAGGGACAAAGGTGAAGAAGGTACTGACTCCTGAGCTGGGTCTGGTGGCCATACTTATAATCGTAGGCAAAGGCAGGAGGTTTGTAAGTTTGAGGCCAGCCTAAGCCTAGGCAAAACCCTGTGTCAAAAGAAAAAGAAACAGAAGAAAGTGCTGGCTCCTGTTTATAGCATGGAAGTATGCT